GAATTGGGGACCGTCTCCAGATCTTCCACAAAACTTGCCCATTTAATCCTGATGGTTTTGCCATTATGGAACGTTACATCGGTTCAATCGTCACTCGGGTTACAGGATATTGAGGAATTGACTCAGACCGTGAAAATCAGCGATCTCAAACCTGTTTCACATCTTCTGGGAAGTGGGGGTGTAGCAGCACGGTGACAGATACCGAAGATGGACAAAAGAAAACCAAAATATCGGCCAACAGCGGAGCCGGCACCGGTTCTGAACGGAGTAGCTTTTATTCGATGGCATGACCGAACCAATGGAACAAAATTTTTATCCACATTTTAATTATTTGGAGTCTGTTGGCACGCTTATAAATATATAACGAGCTGTATTTTTTAAATGCTTTGCTGAGTCAAGATAGCAATTTTAGAGAGATCAGCTAAACCTCGTATAATATGTTTAAAGAAAACAAAATAACGTATGGCATGCTCGTATTACTATCGTAGCATATTATTTGCATGATGGTCGCTGTCACCAATTGCGGTAATGAATCATTGAAAAATGCACCTGCATGTTTGGTAAAGGGAACGCTTTTTAGTAGCAGAAGCTGAACAAGAATCATCGACGAATAGCGATGCTCAATAACCATTTGGCTGTTCCAACCGGCAAAACGTTGAAAGTTTTAACTTTTAAGGTATGGTTTTATTTTTTTTACTTCTACATTTTTGTTTTGAGAGACATGAGAAACTCGGAAATTCATTGTCACTATCCAAAGTGATGATCTGTCCATTCTGAAACAAATTTGTTCCGTATTCCAGACTGGTAATGTGTGGTTTTCGGACAGTACTTAGGGCAGTAAAAGTCTGTAAATAAGTGAATGTTTCGCTTCCTGATATGTTCATGACGGGGCCATTCTGACATCCTTCATTTTGTAAAATTAATCATGAAGCGTTGAATTCCATTTCCGTGCTGTCAGAAAAGACGTTTTCTCATTTTAAGAGCAAAATCTACAGCAGCATTACGTTGTTTCCTGATTCCATTCTGCATTGTGGTACTCATTTATCAACTTCAGGAAGGAAACAGCGAGCATCCTGGCTTGAAGTCGAATGAGTATCTTCACAGTTTTGAGTCCAGTGCCCTAGCGACTGAGTTATACCAATCCGAAGCAACTTGTTTTAAGTTCCTCACTCAAGGGAATTCGCGCTTAACATAGAGGCTACGCCTCCGTCGAAATCGAATCCATCACCTCCAGAAATCGAAACCGACCTGTTAAAAACTAGAACTCACACCCACTAGATGAGTGGAGATGATGTATGTCACCATCTGTAAGACAAAAGCATTGCTTTTCAATCTTTAACATGTCAATGTTGTCTGAACAAACGTATGTTTCACATCCAAAGCCACTCGTATTGGAAAGGTTGATGGTTTAAAAACTTAAATACCTGAACTTTTTAGAATATTGATGTGTGAGGTGCTTCACGTGATATCCACCATCACTCAGATTTCGCCGCTAATTGCCGAAAATAATACTAGCAGAAGGATCGAAAAAATTTTAATCGGTTTTAATCTATTGTCTGACCAAAATTAGCGTATAATAACCGGCATATAGCTTAATTGCCGTTTTTGCTGAAGAAAAGCAACGGCGATAATGAAACCGAGCGTGATGGAGGGTTATGGAATGTCAGTGTTAACTCACCTAAAGGATGCAGGATTTAACAGACACCAAGAGCCTGTACTTAATTGAGGCCAATCGATCGTACTTCTTTTCTCCGTCACTCAGTCAAGCTCTCTGAAAAAAAAAGACCCAGATCGCAAGTTGTTTAAAATTCATGATTTTTGTCTTAGTCGCACAAAAATGTCTTACCTTGAGACTTCAGATTGACAGCCTCAGAAGCTCAACGACTAAATGTATATGATATGTCAGATATAACTCTGAAAAACAACAACTAATTCAGAAATCTGGGCCTTTAAATCTCAAGTTATGAGTCATTCGCAACTGTTTAATGAAAGAAGTGTAGTGCATTCATTTGGGTGCACCTTGTGAAGTTACTGGCTATTGGACTTGCGAATTTCAATAAAACGAATGTATGTTACTCCTTACTATTCAACAAGGACTTCTTATAGAAAAGGTAAGCCATGAGCCCGCTGAAGAAAGTTGAGACTGTTGTTGCCTCCCCCACTTGCCAATGTTATCAGTCCGCAACAAAAACCTCAAAGGATACAGGATGTGCTTCTCTGAACCGTTTCAGCAGGATAATGGTTGAGGTTGAGGCGCATTGAGGTTGACACCATGAATGGACTGTCCAACAATCACTCGCCAAAAATCGCTCATGAAGCGAAAAGGTTGGAGGTGAGTCGAGCCGCTTTCACGGCACGTCTCCGAATGAGGAAATGCCGAATGAAAGGTACGAAAACATGAGGTGTTCTCTGGCTACCGTCTTTCGTCGTCCTTGTGACATATTTTCCTCCTTCCTCCTTCTCCCTGTTCAACTTCAAAGACACATAGCATTGAAGCTACGCAGGGTTGGATGACATTTAGTTGTTTAAACGTCATACTACCGTTTCAGTAGAATCCAGCGGCCCATCCTCTCTGTTCAGCAGGGTTCGGTCGGCGAACCGGCCGTTGCCGAATCGGTGTTACAGAAGGTCGACAACTGACATCTTGATTGTAGCAAATATTCTTTGATGCGGCAAAACATACAATTCGCATTTTCTCCATAAATATTAATCCGGATGTCGTGTCCGCTTCTAATAAACAGGCAATTTACTTCAGTTAATGTAGAAGTCTTGGAGGCGCAATCAGCATATTATTTTTAGTCATGATTTCAGCAGGACGCATTCGTTGTGCAGCGTGTGTGCAAGTGAGCAATTCGTTCTGTTTTTGGAGGCGTGAAGATACACCGTTCCTTAATAAACATGAAAAAACAAATCTCTTTAGGCTAATATCAATATTTTGTAGTCGTCATGCTTCCTGCGCGATTGTTCTTCATATCGATTTTATTGTAGAAATTAACGACGTTCCGAGCCATGCTAGCTTACAATGAAACC